CACCACATGTGAACGCTCTAGGATCTGCCATCACCATCTTCCGTCGTCCCATCTTCAGGAGGGACCACTGCATAGATCATGCCAGTCCCATCTATTGTCGACATCACCACGACGCCAGACATTGCCACCAACCCGCGCTGTCCAATCACACGCACCTGTCGGTGACACTCCGTTGCACCATGCCACCAAGTCCCGTCATCGGCCTTGTGATAGATGTAACACCGCTCCTCCTCTTGTCCCCTCTAGCTAGCTCCTACTCCAAAACGATGCCCCCATGAGGGAGAACGACACCGAAGGCACCGTCATCGTCTGATCTGGGAGACCCAGATCTAGGGTTTCCCCGGGAACATCCCGATCGTGTTGGTGCAACTTTCAACGACGATGCCTTGAGAAGGACAAGACGTTAGAGACATCGCCATGACCGTAATAGGCGCGATTTTCACCGAAAGTCGCGTCGCCCCGATCACGTAGCTGGCTAGGACCGTGTAGAGCCTCGCCATGAAAACGTGTGCCACCACCGCTGCGCCGGCAAGGAACCAGCAACCCTCACCGGCCCCACACTTTGCTCATTGATGATGACCATGGCCCGTTTGAACACCACATGCTGTTACCAAACTGCCATTCCCATTCCAGGTGATATGCCAAACGAACAGTAAACATACCACATGCCAGCTCTTACATACAGGCCATCCTGTCATAAACACATTTAAGTCGTCTGACCGGCAACTAACGTGATGTGGTAGGTAGTGGTAATCTTTTGCTAGGGCTCTGTAAAGTGGTAGTATTTTGCAAGGGTCACACCAATTGTGATAGTTGTTAGCTATTTACTCCCAGTTTCCTCGAGCATCAATCACCTCTAACCAATATGAACATTTAAGAGTCCTTGATTGTCTATTGCTCCCTCGACTGCTTGTTTAGTTAGGGAGTACATATAGAGCACCCTACACTCATAGATGACCCATCTCCTCCTACGCATAAACACCAACTTTATTCCCCCCCTTCTCCCTTCTCCACCGATCCACCTTCATTTTATTTTTCCTTGGACAGAACCATAGCAGCTATAGCATCACTTTTCTTTCTTGACCACTCCAGACCAAACACCACCAACTAAAACTACACCATCGTTCCGGAGGAAGGTGTCACTAAGTCCATGCCAGGGGCGCTCACCGGGCCTCAACGTCAATGCACTTAGGAAAGTGAGAGGACATCTCGGGAACAACTCGGGCATGCCAGGTACCGGGAAAGTGCTTGACAATGGCGCTAGACTTAGAAGTTCTGATGTGTTGCATGACTGTACTGTCCATGGTGACTTGCGCGCTGCTAGGTCATTTTCCTTTTTTCAGAGAAACAAGGCAAGATCGTGATGGCCAGTTAGCTCTTATCTTCCAGAATAACTCAAGTCAAAAAAAGTCAAAGTAATAAATAAAATGACGAGGGGTAATGACTTCAAACGTGGCCAACCCGTATAGTGTGGCGGGCAATGTGTACAAGTCTCGAAAACAGATTCACTGGCTTATTTACTCTTTATACTCAACTTTTTATTTAAAGTTGTTCAATCTACATAAATTGTATCTACAAACAAAGTAATAAATATACTTCAAACAAAGTAGGAATTTGCAAAATGGATAAAATCATTGCAATATCCAAGATATGTTGCATTCTCTAGTGTTGAATCGGGTATAGAACCCATGATGCTTCGTTACAATTCCAAATCCACTAAACCATCAATGGGGGAAAAGTATTATACAGAGCTTGTGGGATTGACGTGATAGGGTATAAAATGTACCCCGAGAATTCGAGACAACTCATTTGAGTGCAAATTGTTTGCAAGATTAGACAGACTATAAGCAATAAAGATGTTGAAGCCATAAAGTTCGTAAAACAACAAACCCTGTTACTTGCCAATTTTGTGAGAACTTTAGAGGTTGACTTACAAAGGATACACCGAAGGATCATGCACTTTGTTGAAATATATTCCTGAGGCCTTGTTTGGTTAAACCTCTCCTGGAGGGGATTGGAGAGGTTTGGAGGGGATTGAGTGAGATTTTGACTTGTATGGGATTTAATCCACCCCAATCCACTTCAATCCCCTTCAATTTTGTTGCAACCGAACAAGCCCTGAAGGATAAGACATGATATGGAGCAACGACGATACGTTAACAATCGTTCATTCGATGTGCCTGTCTCGGAACATGCTCTTCATGTTCTTTGTCAAAAGGAACTATCACTTGCATATGTGTTGTATATCCTTTGTTTGTGACACTTCTGTCATAACTAGTTTTCAACAAAACATGAATGCATGTATCTATTGATGCTAACGCCCGGAGGTGCCCTTGCCTATATCTAAGTATTACGCGAAAATGGTCTGACCATGTTGCTAGTACAAGGGTGAGGGGTTGTATGAAGTCAGTGGTTGTGTCTATAATGTATTACAACATCGTGCAATTCAGCTCATGTTATTGGACATGAACAAAATTTATTGCCAATCACCTCTAGTACTAGTAGTAGTAGTGATGGTGGTGGTGGTGGTGGTAAATAGACCGAGAGGCTGGGGGACGTGATGGCTTGGACAACAACCATCAACCATGTGAACATTGAAGAGTCCTTGATTGTCGATGAAGAAGCATAAACAAATGAGAACCGTAAAGATTGTTACATTCTTATCGGGCAAACTACCTGCCCATTTTGTTTCATGTTAGCAAAGGATCCATCAAGACGGTTGGTCCAAGACTTCTAAACCAAAAATAATACCAAGAGAAACTGATAATTACAACTGACAGTAGCCATGCTTCTGTCGTCTTGCTCTTAAGTAATTGCATGTGGAAGTAGCAGAGATGAGAGTGTACACGGAATAATCTTTAGTCTGAAACCGGCACATCAAGAAGACACTATCTGCAAGCTGAAGTTCCACAGCTTCTTGGCCAATTCTGCATCTACGGCTTGCGAGCTTGGGTTGGCTATATTACAATTGCCGAAGTATTCACCAGTTATTCCCTGGACTTGAGGGTGCATCGCCACATAACATGTTGTTGCAGCACCCTGAATAAACATATCATGAATGTTTTCTTCAGCCATTGAAATGCATAACATGTTCTACCAAGAAGGCAAAAACAACAACCAAATATGAAACCGTGAGGGCTTAATCACCTGTTGGACGCTTCTACTTATGATTCTTCCAACGGTGTTCATGAGAGCTGCAACACAAAAACAGTTAAAATTGTTACAACCAGAACTACCAGCACAATTTACGATTCGGAGCTACTTGCACTTTGGTTCCATATCGTGCTGGTAGCTCATAAGACTCAACTTCTAGTGATTTGAGAGTTACCGCTCACAATGGTCCTGTTCCTGAAAAGGCTTGTCACGATGACGCCCGGATGGACCGTGTTAGCCGAAATGTTCACCCCTTCATCCTGTTCACAAAATTGTTTTTGAATTATTCTTCATCAATTCATTCAGGTGGCAAAGAATCGACGTACCTTGAGAATCCGGGACAGCTCATTCATGTGAAGAATGTTTGCAAGCTTGGACTGACCATAAGCAATGAGGCTGTTGAGCCTGTAAAGTTGAGAACATGGCGAACAATGTTACTTCCCCAATTTCGCGAGGCCTTTAGATGGTTTGTTTCATTCATTCAGCTTGGTCTAACTGACAACAAATTGATTACCCTGAAGGATCATGCACTTTGTCGAAGCATATCCCTTCGGTGTAGGTCATGATATGCCCCGAAGATGACACGTTAACGATCCTTCCTTGGACGCCGCTGTCCCGGCACGCGCTCTTCATGTTCTCCAGAAGCAGGTTTGTCAGAAGGAAATGCCCTGCCATTGGAGTCAACAAGCTGAGCATCAACCTCATAACTCACAGACCACATGAGCACCGAGCGGACAACTTTGGTGTACCGATGTGGTTGGTCGCGAAGTGCAGCTCCAGGCCGTCGCAGGAACGGGTGCAGTCCCTGGCCATGACCCCAGCGTTGTTGCTGCCGAGAAAATGCGAGGAATTAAGCTCCCAGTGTGTGCAACCAATGGCGAGTTCTCTGTTGTAGAGCATTCTTGATGGATGCAAATAGCAGAGGTGGATGGGATGTTGTTGTGGATGTGTTCTTAGATTCTTACATGAGGATGTTGAGGGGCAGGTTGAGGGAGGCGAACTCTGCGGCGAATCTCCTCACGGAAGCCATGGAGCTAAGGTCCAGCTCCAGCACGTCCACCTCCGCGCCGCCGCGGATCTCGGCCTGGACGGCCTCCTTGGCCCTGACCCCCGCGGAGACGTCGCGGACGGCCATGACGACGCGCACGCCCCGCAGCGCCAGCACGCGCGCCGTCTCCCGCCCGATTCCTCTCGACGCACCTGCCGAGAGCGAGCCCGCCGGTGTCAGCTCACGAGGCTGCCAAGATTCGACGAGGACAGCATGCTGAGAGCTCACCGTGTGAGCGGAAAGTGGAAGAAGGTACCTGTGATGACGGCGACTAAGCCGCGGCCGTCGATGCCGGCGGTGACCTCCTCGGCAGTGGAGGCGCCGGCGAAGCCCGAGGGGCCCTTGCGGTAGAACCACCACATCAGTCGGCCAGCAGCGCAACAAGTTCAGATGGGCTAATGATTGGATCCCGATTCCGACGTTGTAACATATACTCGAAGACGAAATGCATGTGAGCTCAGCACTGCCAAGCTCTATTTCTTTATGACAATAGACAGAGATTCCCCCAACCCAACGGTGGATTCGGAACTGAACTCTACTCGAATTTTTTTGAAGGTCAACTCTACTCGAATTTGGAAACTTTCAGCTGAACATTCAAACTCAAGAGTCCCGTCACAAACGTACGTGCGCCAGTAAATGTGCATACAGGGTACCAGTTCCATTCGCTGACATCTACATCTACTGAGAAATTTTACATGGCCAAAATATTAGGGAAGGGATTAAAGCAACAATCTACTGGAGTAAAAGATGCAACGCGGCTACGCACAGCCATCACAAGAACACTCGGACGGCGCATCATCTAGGAATCCTTCTTATCTTCGTGGGCGTGGCCATCGCCGTTGGTGCGGTCGACGCCGTCGTCGCAGTAGTACCTCTGGAGCGCCCTGGGCAGGTAGAAGGGCAGGAGGAAGGCGAAGAGGTTGGCGCCCCAGAAGGCCATGTTGGCCAGCGCGAGCACCCTCCCGGCCACCACGCGCCGCTCCGCCACGCCGGGGCCGCCGCGCTTCTCCTCCATCTCCTGCCGGAGCCACTCCCCGGCCGCGAACATCCTGCGGACGCTGTACATCACCGGGACGGCGGCCCTGACGGGGAGCGAGAACCGCCACGGGAAGGCGGCGGTGAGCCCCTCGGTGAAGACCTGCGCGGAGAGCAGGAACGCGTGCGGGGCCGCGGCGGCGATGCCCGTGGTGTCCCCGGAGCGGAGGCCGTCGAGGATGTAGAGCGCCGGGAGCGCGGCGCCGACGAGGAAGCCGCCCACGGTGTGCGTGGCGAGGAGGAGGCGCGCGGGGCCGAGGAAGACGGGCGCGGACGGGTTGGGCTTCCCGGGGCGCTGCGGGAAGGCGAACGACGCGAGGAAGAGGAGGTAGGGGAGGAGCAGGACGGCGAAGGCGATCTCCGAGAGCGGCACGGTGGTGGAGAAGGCCAGCACGGCGGCCGCGCCCAACGTGTTGAGCTGCTTGATGGAAAAGAGGTAGTAGTGGTGGTGCGGGCGCGCCGTCGGCGAGGTGGGCTCCGGGTGCAGCGGCGGCGGCGGCTGCCCCATCGACGGCAGCATGATGCCGCCCCCCGCCGTCGGGCCCACGCCTCCAGACATCGGCGGTGACGGGAAGACTGTCGCGGCGTTGGTTGATCGGTTGCGGAGCTTGCGGTACGAGGTGGCAGCGGCAGCGTTAGCGGGAGAGTGAGTGAGGTGTCTCCTGTGCAGGAGGCGGGGGGAAGCTTAAAGCGACGGGTGGATGGCATGCGTGGCGAGCTCTGGTGCTCGGCTCGCCATGGCGCGCCGCGTGTGGAGGTTCTCTGGATTATCTTACTGGCCTCAGAGCCTGCGAGGAACAGCGCAGCTCGGGTGAGGCTACGTGTTCCCGGCGTGTCGTTCACGGACTTGCTCGGAGGACCGACAAGTGCGTGCTCGGTGCAAGGAACGTTCTCCAAACAAAGGTGATTCGAGGTTTAGAACCAAGTAGGCACTCCACTTGTGCTGCAGCAGATGATAGATTATTTCCAAAGGAAAAGAAGAGTAGATGATTCCCAAAAAGGAAAAGATGATTATAGCTCTACAGATGGCGCTTGTTTCGAACGAAATTGTCGTGTAGGCTGATTGAGCTGGGATAAGCAGACTGACGCTTCCTTTTTCCTTTCTCAAATGTTGCATTGACGCTCGTTCTCCGTACCATTTTCTTCTCTATCCAAAAGGACCATCATCATGTTTCAAATGTTACAGGTTACGATTTGCAAGGTTTGTGAGAGTAGGATCTAGTACTTGATAAAGTTCACAGCAACAAATATACTTCGCTAGAGCACCTCACGGGTTCATCCCAAATAGGTGTAGTCGACAAACAAAAATACGCTACAAAGTGATTCCGGTACGCCCGTCTCAGCTACAAGACCGGAGACTGAGTTCTGGCCGGGTCAAGGAGGCTACACCTACACGCACACAAGCTGCAGCAAAGCCTTCCAGTACCGTGAGCATGACGGGTTCTGGTGTATCGCCCTGAGAAGCCACGCCCCGGGACTCTGCATCGTTTCCAGCAGTTGCACTTTCTTCTGCTGAGGACCTGTCGCCACCGCAGTCGACTGGCTCGCCAGAAGATGCATTTGGAAATAGAGCTCAGCAGGCCGCAATTCTGCACAAATCAAAACCAAGAAACGGTCAGATAAAATGAAATGGACGTTTTATCTGTTGGGGCTCTGAGCTTCAGTTTCAGACCTGGGGGCCAAGAGAACCACTCGAGGCGAAGGTTCTTCTCCCACTTGGCTTTGGAGCCGAGGCTGCCTTCTGCTTGGGCCAGTAGGAGTGATATGATGGGTACGGCAGCTTGAGACTTCTGCTGTGCCTTTCTGAGGCTCGAAGCTGCGCGGGTTATATACTGAGGAGCCGCATACCTCCGGGCAATCTCCATATGCATAGCTCCTGCCAGGGTGATTTTGATTCAGTATGCAATGAGAAAGTACAGAGAAGCAAACTCATCTAACTAATGTTTAGTCCCGTTCGCTATCGCCCCTTCAGATTATAAAAATATAACATAGAATTTGCAGGCAGTGGACAGGGTTCGTAAAAACTGAAGGGTTGAACAGGCTGTGTGAATTCTACTTCCCTGATTAACTTGCATAGAAATGTGATATCTAAGCATCTACTTGGTCACTGTAGTACATACTACTCCCTCCGTTCCAAAATAGATGACCCAACTTTATACTAAAGTCAGTACAAAGTTGGGTCATCTATTTTGGAACGGAGGGAGTAGATGTGAAGCAGAGCCCAGCAGCTGGTCTTGTGTTATGGACAATGTTCAGGTAAGACCGCGATGCTACTGTGAATGCTCACGATCAGGAAACCAGGTGATGCGCAAGTCACTCACACAAACCAGGTGATAAACAAGTCACACGCAGTGCTACTGTGAATGCTCACTACCAGTAAACCAGGTGATACGCAAGTCACTCACACAACTTTCTAAGTTTCTTAAGCAGATTGCACGATACTGTGATCATGATGCCTACTGGAGTATGGAGGTAACAGAACATCGAGTACAAAATTTAACTCCATATAAGAGGTAACCAAAAAAAGTTTCAGGGAAAACTGACAATTAAAATAAGCTAACCAACAAACAGAAAAAAAAATAACAATCTGGCTTACCATTGAGGAATAAGATGCAGCTATCAGCATCCTTTTCCGCACATGCCTGTGCAAGAGCTTTTTCAGCACTTGCAAAGTCCTCGTCCCGCATAAAACACTGAGCACATGCTAGATTAAAAAGAGATGGCCATTTTGATGGGTTGCTACCATTCCTTTCAATGCATTCTTTCAGATTTATCTCTATTTCATCAGAGCCACGGTTCACTGAACATAAAGATTCAAGTTGCTTGAGCATTACCCAGCCAACCTCAGTATTCGTGCGGTTCTGCAAGCATTTCATGTATTCCTTCCTGGAGTTCGAAAGATCGCCTTGCACCACATAAGCCCGACACAGTTGCAAGTGTGCAAAGAAAGTATCCACACTCGGAGGAGCAACTCTTAGAGCATCTGTAACTTGAGCAATGCCGTTTTCATAGTCATCAGATTGCAAACTAACCTCTGAAGACAAAAGAAGTAGCAAGTACTTCTCATAAAGGATGAGTTTATGCTCTTGTGAATTGCTACTGCTGGACATAATTTGTAAAACCAGCCTCTTCAAAGTGGCACAAATATGTTTGGGGTACTTCTCTTCACGTGCTTTTTGGAAAATAGCAAGCACAAGCAAGTAGCGTGCATCTTGGTTCCATGGTTCTTGATGGACCAACCTTCAAATGAAGTTACATCTTAGTTTGCCAACCAAAGCCAAATAAGTATAATGTTGTCAATGTCGTAAGTTGGAAAAAAACATACCTTTGCAGGTTGCGTATTCCATTGTATTGACTTAGGTACTGGTCTTCACATGTTGGGAATGAGAACTTTGGATAAGAGGTGCAGGTAGCATAGCAAGACATTGTTGCACAAGCTTGAATTTGATGCGGAGACCTTAGACCCCTATTAGATGTGTGCCCATGGGACAACGGAGTAACCCTTACTGCTTTGTGAGAAGCAGTCCAATCTCCGCTCGACAGCAGCAGAGATCCAAGATGGTTTCTGCAGCATGCAACGAAGGCAACATTATGATGAATATAGTCATAGTCATGGTTTACTGTCCCAGGGAAGATGTTACCTTACTAAACTGCAGTCAGGATACATGTGTAGAACCTTTTTCAGGTAAGACAAACCACCCTCGACCCCTAAACAGTTGTTTGATTCCCCACCAAACTACAAGCGAAATTTAATCTATATTATTACAACTAGCATACAACCAAAAAAAGGAAGAATAAAATCCACCAAGTACCAAAAACAATTAGGGTACTTACTGCCTTCCCCAGAGCAATATTTGAGTGGACTTCACTCATCACGTCATAGGATGTAAGTCTAGGAGGCGTACTCAAGTGAGGTAACTGAAAACGCTTGCTTGGCTGCAAAGCATCTAATGCAGAGATGATGAATTTCAACTCTCTGTTATAACTGGGTTGACCAGGGAGTGTATGAATGACCGAAGCTGCAGAATCCTTCCCAGCTATGTTGTATGCTAAGGTGCATATGAATCCCAATGCCCCAGTTGCACTCTCCTGCTTCATATTAGATAAGTTTTCAGCCAAGTTTTGTGATATGGAAAGAGCTTCATCATGCCGTCCAAGTTTCCACAGTGCAAGAGCATATACTTGCAATCCATCAACGTTCAGCAGTCCTAGAAATTTGAGATGACCCGTTAGTGTGTACTACCTCTGTAAACTAATATAAGAGCGTTTAGATCACTACTTTAGTATTCTAAACGCTCTTATATTAGTTTACGGAGGGAGTATGTTGTATATAGCATGTGCGAAATAAATTGATATAATAGTATAATATGCTTGCCATGCATGTTTGTTCAATTCACAAGAAAAATAGGAAATATAAGCTTTCAGTTGCTTGAAGTGGAAACTAAACAGACCTTGTGTTTTCAACTCTTCGCACTCGCACACTGCATCAGTTGCAAGACCAGCCTGCGGTCAATGCGATGATTTTAATTAAAGAAGTGGAAGTGCTTATGGGGAATTAAAAGGATAACCACCTAACTATAAGATTCATAAGTACTCCCTCTGTAAACTAATATAACAGCGTTTAGATCGCTAAAGTAGTGATCTAAATGCTCTTATATTAGTTTACAGAGGGAGTACCACACTAGGAACAGCAAGCTTATTACAGATACAGAAGTCACAGTAAACACATTTTTTCAGATTTACAGTAAACAGCATGATTTAAGCTTCTTGCTCTGAAATAAATAATTTTATCAAACCATGTGATAGTATTCTTACCTTACATAGTGATCGGGCAAGATTCACTGAAACATCAACAAAAGGATATCTATTGTCTAACTTGGACCCGCGCACCATGTCTAAAGCAAATTTCGCATGTTGGTAAGACGTGATTGCAGATTGAAAATCTGATCGCACTTCAGAGACCAGGCCATTTATATTGTGTGATTCTGGGTAATGAGGCGCTCGCTGAACAGCCTGTCTTACAGCCATCAATACCTACACAACATAAAGCACCACATACACAGAGACTGACATGTCAAAGAAGGAAAAGAAGCATGTAATAAGTGTAAACAACATAAGCATTGCTCAAGAAAGATTACATATACATAACCTGGTGCTCTAAATACCCAAACCCAAGCACTAACTTATGTAGGCATAGGTATAAACATGTGCCTAGTGAAACCATCTGTAGCACTAACTTAGTGACAATGCCAACAATTCAACAACACTATGATGTAAAGATGAGACCATATAATAACTACCACCAGGTTAAACGGCTGCTTTAAAAAAACATCACTTCATTTTGAGCATGAAGTGGCCAATATTTACTTCGAAATTAACTTTCAACAACACCAGAAAAATGAAATTGAACATACCTGAGGTGACAGAAGTTCACCAGAACGAGCTGCAATTGTTCCAAGGCCAATCTGGAACTCTGGCAGCTATGCAAATATGACATGAGAATGAGATAAAACTAAAGTACGGAAATAACTAAGCAAAGTATTAAATTACATTAATAAT